TTTGGACTCATGGATAAAAATAGAACAAGCTGGCCCAAATCAGGGATTAAGGCCAGAGCCTTGGTGTGGTCAATGCCAATGCTCTGTACCCAGGCTGCCTTGCTGTATGGAAACAAATGGCTCTCATGAGTCTTTTCTGAGGAACATGGCAATTTAAAAACGCTTTTGCTTGGGAAATACACACTGAGGCTGCTGTGGTCTAGTACTAATGTTACAGCCAAAAGAGAACATAGGGGTTGCAGCCCTTTCCTGCCCAGAAAGGGCCCCATGGCTCCATGGCCTCCTTCTGGCTTGAGCCCTCCAGGGAAGGCCCATTTCCCTGGATTTCTCCTGAAGGGTAGCACATACTGTAAGAATGAAGAGTGAGAAAGTGTTCTGCTTCCTCTCTGTGAATGATAAAGCCACGTGTCAACAAGGAAAGACAGGCCACAGTCAACTATTTCCTGTTACTACTGATGATATCCACACACTCCCTCAACTTGGAGCCTCTGAGACCCTTGTCACCATACCAAACCCCTGTGTGACAAGGGCTTCTCTGCCCCAAGTCCTACATTTCTTTAAGGTGCCCATACTGTGTCTTAAGGATTCATGTGAATTTTGGATTCTGGCCCATGTGCCCCTATTTGTTTTAGTGTAAATTTTCCCCCCACTCAAGTCTTTAACAAAATTGTCTCTTGAGAACAGGTACCACACTGATCGGGTGGCTTGTGCCTGCTTCAGAGACCTTCCTGGAGCCACTCAGCTGATTCTTAGGGAGATGTCTCCACTTTGTTCTTCCAGGAACTGCTCTGAATCCTGCTCTGCAAGGAATCTGGGAGACTGGCAGAAGACCATCCCATCCCCTGGTATGGCCACCTAGGTGAGGCAGCACAGGAACTAGGCTGGCAGGACAGCAGTCAGCTGGCGCCAGCCCCGAGGGCCAAGGAGGACTCGCACACTCCACTGTAGATAGGTACTGGCCCCTCAGATCTGCCAACATGAGCCATCCGTGCTTCAAGTTACGCTCCTTACAGCCAGTACCAAACTGGCCTAGAATTTTATGACCCTCCAGTCAGGAGATCACACACTGGACTGGAAACCTGTGTGACTTGTTCACTTGTCTCTCGGGGTGCTGCTTTCTGCCCCACCCCCATAAACTGGTTGTCAGTATTTAAAAATTCAATAATCAGAAGAGCAAAAAAAAAAAATCTTCAACTTCTGGAGATAAGAAAAAAAATCAGGTCTGGCAAGTCAGACCTGGCCCCACAAGGGGCAAATTAGAGTTGTCTCTCCAGAGAGGGGCCTCCTGGGCACTTCACCCCAGTACCCACCCATCCCAGCCCCATTCACTCACTTCCACAGGCACCTAAGCCCACAGGCTCTCCTGATCTAGTTTCACAACTACCAGGGTAAGAGCACACGTGAAGCCCAGAGCGAATAAGCGATCTAAATCTCACAAAGACCATCATTTCAGTTTGAGAAAAACACCATATTTTTACCTCAGCTTCTCTCAAGGGTGGTAAAGAAATAGAAAAAAAAAAGAGCATCATCTTTACTGACCCTGAAAAAGCACCTTTAAAATATTTGTTACTGCCAGGCATTGTGGCACATACCTGTAACTCCAGCACTTGGGAGGCTGAGGGAGGGAGACCACTGTGAGTTCAAGGCCAGCCTGAGCTACACAGTGAGATTCTGTCTCAAAAAAAACTTTTTTTTTTTGCTACCTTCCTAATAAAACTCCACGGAGCTCAGACTGCGCTGCTGTGCACCAGAGAGAGAAGATTTTGATGGCTACAGTGTTCCCTTGTTCCCTTACTGTGCAGGTAAGGATGCAACCATAAGTTCTGTATCTCTGCATTTCCTGAACATTCCCTGGCTCCCATTCCAACTGCTCTACCTCCATGTGGGGTCTGCAGTGGGACGGCTGGGATCCAGGAGAAATGGGCCAAAGAATGACCAAAATGACCCTTTCCCCATAGCAACAGCCACGTAATCATAATTAGTTGCCCAGGGACATGGCAGGCCCAGAGCTGGTCCTGGCTAAACGCCCTGTTTGTTTTCTGGAAACCGTTGGTTAAGTCAGATTAATAAATACCTTCAGGGTTTCCTGACAACATTCTCCAGAGGAGTGCCCTGCACTGCTAGGTCACTGCCAGAATCATTAACAATCCCTCCCCACCCCCTCTCCTGCCCACTGCATGACTGCTAACTTGACAATGAGCCTGAGCCAGGCTTGGGCCTTGGAGGCTGTTTGTTGGCTGATGTCACTAACAGAACAAACAGCACTGCCCCAGTTCCAGCCTGAAAAACTCAGTTCCCTGTTCAACGAGGCCTCCCCGAAGACCCCGTGTCTGAGGCTGCACCACCCCCTGTCACTCTAGGTCAACAGTGGTGGTGAACCTGAGGCATGCATGGTATTTTTTAAGTTAAAAGATGTTAAGGTATTTTTCTAAACAAAAACCTGGGCATTCAGGTTTAATTGCACTTTGCAATAAAGAAGTGGGTTGGGGGCTGTACTTTGGGCATTCATCTCTAAAAGGCTCACTATCACTACCCTAGGTCAACCTCTCTCACATTTCTATTTCGTCATACCACAGAACTTATCACTTCTTGATGTGATCTGGTTCATTTACTCATTTATGAAAAAGTCTCCTTCCAGACTGAAGGTGTAGCTCAGTGGTACAGCACTTGCCTGCCATGCACAACGCCCGGGGATCAATCCCTAGCCCTGCAAAACGGTCTCCCCTCAGTGAGAGACAAAGCATGGTGTGAGCCCAACCCCATCTGCGCTGTACACAGCCTTCTCTCCTGTACCTCCTGTCTGCCACTTAAGGGTGCTCAATGGATCCATGAAACCAGCAAAGCAGCACAGCCCACTCCCAAAGAGGCCATGGCACAAGGCTGCCCCTTCGGATGTAAAGCTGGCCTGTCAAACTGTCAAAGTGTCAGCCAGAGTCCAAAACCACAAGATACAGCAGCCTTTCAAGCTCGGGGCTGACAGTGCCAAAATCAGGGAGCCTTTCCTGAATTGCATAGACCTCCTGAGATCAGCTGTGTTATGGGAAACTGACAGTTTCCAAGTCCAGACTTTTCTTCAAACAGAGACACTGTAAGGCATCTTGAAAATTGAAACATTACAGTATCTTCCCAGCCCCTCCAGTAATAACCTCTCCTGCATCCAGTTACAAAAGGAGCTGGAGAGGAGGTTCAGAGAGCTTCCGGCCACCCGGGAGTAACAGACCCAACACAGGCACAACGGTTATTTCTGGTCAAGAAGGCAGGTGCCAGGGAGTTGCTTCTAATATTCTTGTGGACCCCAGTGGTACTGCATAATAAAAATGAGTGCAAGGAATTCACACAGTTGTTAAAAGCACATTCAAGCAACGAAGAGAGTAACACAAAAAGGGAGAATCACTTCCACCCTCATTCCAGTCTTGTTCTAACTGCTGTTTCTTTGTCCTTCGTGCGTATGTCCAAGTCCTTTTACACACACACACAGAGACAGCATGCTGCCCTGCTTTTTTCTTCTTTTCTCACTGTCTTTCTCTTTACTTCTCCCTCTTCTCTCTTTCTCTCTCCCTGAATTGAACCTAGGCCTTGCACATGGCTAGGCAAGTGCTGTACCACTGAGCTACATCCCCAACCCTTCCCCATTTAATATCTCATGGATCCTTCACACCAATTTAAAAATGAATTTATCCCATGATCAAAGTCAGAACCCTCCTCTTGTTCTGCTGAGTGCTCAGGACCCAGTGCAAGGCACCCCTGGGGCTGGGAGCTCTTTTATATTTAGTTGATACGTTTGCGATTCCCCACAGCCTCTCACGGGGTCTTTGTGCTTCCCAAGGGGTCCAGTGCTGAAGCCAACCCAATTATCCAACCCTGTGCTCCCACTGGATATGCCCCTCCCCTCCCCTGAGGACACGCCAAGCAAACCATCGCTTCCAGGGAGTAGAATGAGCCCTTCCTGGCCAAGTTTTGGGTTCCAGGCTGCTCAAACACTCTCCCTGAGGCACTGAGGAGTCTATCTCACTTACCCAGGAACCAGGTACAACACCCTCCTTGACTATCTGTTGTAAAAGGTGGCAAGAGTGACAAGGACTAACCCTGGAACTCTGAAAAAGGAAACTGGCACAAAAAGACACTGGCACATGTCTTTTGTTGAATTTAAGGGCATGTGGAAGGCTGATAGCTACCTAGGTATAGGAAGGGTTTGATGAGTTCTGTGCTTGATAAGTAACTATGTTACCACCTAAGTATAACAATGTGTGCCTCAAGCACACATGCTGTATTGTGTCCCTCTCAGCAGGTAACTCTTTTTGTTTTAAGGCTGTTCTCCAACTCAAGGAATCTTCCAGCTCAGTCTCACGAGTAGCTAGGACTATGGTTCATGTGGCTCTAAGTGGTTGATTAATACCTCTTTCATGATGGCTCGCCTCACACTGTAACTCTAGCAATTGGGAGGCTGGCGCAGGAGGACTATTTTAAATTTGAGGCCAGTCTGACTACCTAAGTGACTTCAAAGTCAGCCTGCAGTACAAAGTTTCAAACAAAAACAAAGACAATGAATACCCTTTTCAGTAGAAAGATGGACATAAACAATAAAAATGTCCTTGTCACTCCTTCCTGGACTCTTCTCCCTTATACATTCAACACACCTTTACCAAGTAGTAATTTTACCCCGGCACTGTGCTAGGCAGTGGAGAAACTGTCAAGTCCCACAGGAAGCAGGGAAGACAAACACCAAGGAAATGCTTAATTGGACTTCCACAGGAGCCAGGGCATTCAACTGAAGCCAAGTGCCCCTGTCCATGCCTCTCCCCTCACACACAGTTGGGGTGGGCCAAATGTCTCTTTACCATAACCACACTCTAAGCAAGAAAGGACCCAGCCCAGGAGGCAGCAATGAGAAGAAAGCTGAAGCTGAAAGCACAGGGCAGGTTCAGAAGCACAGGGAAGGCTGCACAGGCCCCAGGGGCGCTGGCCTTCCCAGGCGAGGCGGGGAACCCAAAGACACCTACCTCAGAAGGTTTTCTGCTCCTGTCCTCATTCGCACGGCCTTCAGGATCTGCTGATTCAAAGCAGCCCTTTGATTCTGTAGTTTGCTCCGGCCAGTCTGTGCAAGGGGATTACATCCCTAGAGAAAAATAAGAGATGCTCCTTTAGAGGTGAACCACTCTAAACATGACGCCAATTACCGCACTGATGTTTAACAAAAAGATAATCTCTTCTGAAAATAAAAGTAAATGTCAATAGAGAAAATGGATACAATGTTGAAAACTATAAAGAAAATAAGCCATTCATAATAACACAACTCCAAAACAGCCCCTGTGAGGTGGTCTTCTTCCTTCCAGTCTATAATTAAGTGCATGTTGTTATTCTCCAGTCCTTGGCTGTGTTAGGAGTCCCCACGACCACCAGGATGTTGATCTGTTAGAAAGTTTCACAGAGTGTGGTGCATAGTGGTACTCGTGACTACGATTCATCATGGTGGCTCCATAAGGATGCACACATAGCTGGACCATAAGGAAGTACAGAAGCTAGAGGAACTGAATGTAGGCTTGCTTCACAGTCTCCCACCGGTGCTGGGTCACCAGCAGCACCCTCTTTCCCAGGACTAAAAATCCAGCAACGCTAGGTGGGCATGGTGGCATATATCTGTGAGGGGCAAAAAGGCAACAGGATTTAAGTTTGAGCCCAGCCTGGCCAACTCAGCAACCTACGAAGACCCTGAATCAAAACAAAAACAAAAACTATCCCAGTACTCAGGAAACTGAGACAAGATTACAATGAGTTGAAGGCCAGCCTGGGCTATTTAGTGAGTTCAAGACTAACCTGAACTACATAGTAAGACCCTGTCTCAAAAACACAAAAAGACATAAAAGAAGGGCTGGGAATATTGCCCGACACCAAGGCTCTAGGTATAATCTCCAGTATCAATCAATCAATCAAAAATAAATAAATAAAATTGTATGGGACCAAGGAAATACTTCAGTGGCATAGCACCTGCCTGGGGTGAGTTTGATCCCCTTAACAAAAAGAAAAAAAGTTATGAAATGTAACAACTCATATTCAATGTCTCTGCTCATATTAGCTTACTAACAGAATACCCAGCAGAACTTGCAATGGGAGCTGATCCCATAAGCACACTCTGCCTAGCAAGTACCAAAGCTCCAGACTCCCAGAAGGACAGCAGGCCTTCATCACAAACCACAGTTCATACCACCAGTCTAGGCACAGTGGACCACTGTTACCAGCTAGGGAATTGTGGGAAGACTCCAGTTTCCCAGATGGCAGCTGGGGACAAACTTGCAAGCAGGTCTTACTAAGAAGAGCAGCCTCTGGCCTGTGTGCAAGCCCTTTTCTGCACAATGGCACAGATAGCTTACCACGTTTTGTCACTTAGTACCCCATCCTGAGATTCTTCTCTATCACAAAGTGCCCCTCAGCTGGGGTTCTGGGGAGAAAAGGCAGGAGGACTGCAAGGCTGAGCTCAGCCTGGCCAACTTAGTGACTTAGAAAGACCCTGCCTCAAAATAAACAATAAAAAAAAAAGTGATTCAATGCAAAAAGGCCTGAATTCAACCCCTAGTACTACCATAAAAAATAAATAAAATGTTCCTCAAACACAAATTTTTTGTTTTGTATGTGTAGTACTGTGCACTGAATTTGGGCCTTACATGGGCTACACAAGTGTTCTATTACCTGAGCAACAACCCTAGTCCCAGGTCTTTTTCTATTATAGCTATCCGTAGGGGGGAGGGGTACTGCTCATTGGAATTCTGAACTGCATTTCCCTGATGATTAATGACGCTGAACATCTTTTCATTGGTGTAAGCTGGAGGTATAGCTCAATAGTGGAACACTTACCAAGCATGTATTTGATGCCCAGCACCATTTTTTAAAAGTTCCTCTGCTTGTTCCAAGGCTATGGCTTAGGATCCACACCCTAAGCTGTCACAGGTAAGAATTCCTGCCCTACATTGGCATTGGTCTTTGTTGAATCTGATAGCTTATGTGGTAAAACTCTTTTCATGGGCTTACTGACTTCTGCTATAGATTTTCCCTGGAGAAAATCTGATTCTTTGCTCATTTTTAAACTGGATCATCTATTTATTAAGGTAAAAAGCATGATTTTTAATGAATGCAAAAGCAAGCATCCCATTCTCTCAATTTGCATGCTTTATTATTAGTGAGAGTAAACACTTTTCCATGAAGTACTGATCCCTTGGATTTCTCCTTAAGTGAATTATCTCCCCATGTTCTCAGCCTAGTGCAGTATTTCTTGGGGTATTTGGATTACAACATTTCATACTATAAAATTTAAGATAAGAAAAAAAAAGTTTCACTTACACCCAATGGCCTTCTCCCCACCCAGACAGGCAGAAGCCCTGGAAGCTGCCTTAGGACCACATTCCTGGCTGAGGCTTATCTGCAGGGCTTCGGCTACGGCTACTCCCTGGGAGTGGCCTGCTGTACACACCTAGCCTCCCCTCCCCAGGCCTGCACCACACTCATGGCCTAGACCGCAGGGACGAGAGCAGGTTATTGGTGGTCCACTCTTCTCAGCAGTTTCTGTATCAGTGGCCTCTGGACTAGCAGGCCAGACGTGAGTTACAGTTCTCCTTCTACAGACTTCCCATTCTCACCCCCTCTCCCAGCAGTCCCATTATCTGTCCCCTATACAGTCCACACCTAGTTTTCCCTGTCTCACATGGACACTTTTCCCCCAAATTCAAACAGACTGTAGGGATGCTCAGAATCTGAGCTAAAATGGATCCTGAAGTTAGGACTGTGGGGTTTTTTTGTTTTGTTTTTATTTTTTCCCTGGTACTAGAGATTGAACCCAGGGCCTTCTCATTGAGCTATATTCTCAGCTCTTTTTTATCTTTTAATTTTGGAAAGGAGGTCTCCCTAAATCACTCCCAGGCTGGACTCCAACCTATGATCTTGCCTCAGCCTCCCAGAGCGCGGAGATTACAGGCCTGCGCCAAGCCTGGCTAAACCATTAAACAACACATGGTTTAAACTTAAAATCTTTTTTCAGATACAATGTCTTTAATGTTAATTTAATACTAAAGAGCTACAATAACTACTGGTCTCTTCCCTTTCCTCTTCTGCGAATTACTATGAAGTGCTGCCTGATTGGACTCAGTTACCTGGCTCACCAGTGCTGTGTTTTACTTTATCAATAAGCCTTAACAATTAATCCCTTTATGTACATTCCCAGAGAATTCAGATAAGCAGCCATTCCAGCACAGGAATAAGAACTTTTTCCTGCTTCAAGACTTTAACCAACTTTTGGAATTTTTATGTTTGAACCAGCCCACAGTTGTGGGGTCAAGTTCCTAGATGAGACCTAAGAATTCATAGGTTAGATCTGACTGAGTAATTGGACCCAAAACTACATTACTTCTTAGTGACAGGTAGGAATCCTGCGCCCTGCTGGGAACGGCAGAAACCCCCACTGGGCACCCAGGAAATTTCCTTGAGAGGTAAATCTGTTCAACACCACCAGAAAGCCCCCTGGATTCACCAGGGGCTGTTGAGGGTGGCGGTCCCCCTCCCACAGTCCTCAGCCACACATTTCTCCTCCCCGGCTTTGTCTCCACTGCAAGGTTCTCAGACCAATGGCAGAGACGCATTCCTCACAGGGCATAGAATTGCTCAAAAATGGCAAACATTTGTGCCAGGGAGCAGGGAAGTAACTGTCACACAAACCTGGTCTGAGAACCAGGGCCACTCACCAAGCTGTCCTGGCCTCACAGGTCACTCCCAACAAGGTCTTGCAATGAAGTGAATCTTTCTTTGCATCCAGTCTATTTGGTTTCCTGGCAGGATCAGGTTTGGGCATTTTGGTTCGTCTCGAAATCTGTAAGGATGGTCTGACAGCTTGCACCCAAGAAAAGCCAAGTACTGAGGGAACTGTCCACACCACTGTGAGCTTGGTGGGCCTCTCCTGGGAGTCAGAACCAATGTGGGTCCAGATGCAGTATCCAGGACCTCACAGTCTGGGGCATGGAGGTTAAGGGAGCTACCAGACTCCTTCCCCAGACTCGGGTGGTCTGTGAGGCCGGCACAGTATGAGCAATGTGTGAGGATGCTAAGAAGCTTGCTTCCAATCCCCAGGGGCACAGTCACGTGCTTCCTGCCTGAGGACCACCTAGCATCATTCCTCATCCTCTGGGGAACAGTAATCCAAGTACATTCTCCCACCTCATGGTCCATGCCAACCAGAGGTGGTACATTCTTGTTCAACTGCTAAAACAGCCATGAAGTCGTGCATGGTGTTGCACACACCTTTAATGCCAGCACAGGGGAGGCTGAGGCAGGAACGTTGCCACAAGTTCAATTTCCAGTCCAGCTGGGTAAAGAATGGCCCCACTCAATGCAGTGCTTGGCACCTGCCTCCTTCTCTTCTACCTCAGTATCCAGGGGACCCTTCCTCCTCATAGACAAAAATAAAGCCAACAGCTATCTTTCCAGTAAATTCTGGGCAAACTGAAAGCTTAGGATCTAGATGTCAGAAGTAAAACTGACTGCAAGCTGGAAGGACAGGACTGAGGTAGCACCTGGTGAGAAACCCTCACTCAGGCCACAGGAAGACAAGTGAGTTTAGCTGCTTCTTCAGCGTATTTTCTTTACTTTTCTCTTTCCTTCCCAATTACACAATCCCTTACTCAATCACCAAACTCTGGAAAAATAAAGTTGTTTGTGGAAAAACAGAATTGTTCGTGAATTCAGCAGAGCTGTCAACCAGAAAGCACGGAAATAGCATGCCATACCCTGCAATACACACATACATCTAATTTAGCTTTCACCACACTGGAGATTCAGGGAAACTTGGATGGAGAGAAGCTAGCTCTTATATGTCAAAAAAATAAAAAATAAAAACACGAATAGGTACATCTAAATAGCCCTCCTGCCCTCCCTAGGTCTCTGCCAGGCACAGGAGTAGTGGTGGAGACCAAGCTGCCTCCTTCCAGCACCCCAGTCCCTTCCCATAGAAGCAGGATGGGCATGACGTAAATTAATACTTAGCCATAACCTCCAGTCCTTAAATTGCCCAGGCTGGGCTCAAACTTCTGATCTTGCTGCCTCAGCCTCCACAGAGATTAGACATGTGCCTCCACACCT